GACTGATGTGAGTTATGTGATTGACTTAAACAATATTTTCTGTGTTTGTTTTACTTTAGCATGTAGTTCAGTGTGTCATAGTAGCAGTGAAAACTATAGGGAACATCATGTTGGTGACATTTCTTCTAAATTTCATGTTTGCGGTTATTGGAGTACAACTTTTCAAGGTAGGCTGATGTTGACCTGATATTACAAATCTCGACCACTTGAAACCACAAAGAAAACTAAAACAGAATAACAGAACTTTTGTAAGAGATTCTGCTACAATAATATTAATTCTGTTCTTACACTAAACCTTTTATTGTATGATCCTTTTCATACACAGGGTCTTGAAATTAGAATTGAAAATTTTATTATAAAACTTTAAATTAGCAATAAACATTAATAATTTTTACAGAATCATCAAGCTTATTATGCAGGTCTTTAGCATTATAATTTAACTGACCTTAGAATTTCATGATTTATTTCATCATTGAAAGTGACCATAACCATTTAACCTGTATATATATATTTTACAAAAATAATAGCAAATACTTGAAAGTTGTGCCAAAATTTCTTAAACTCCAAAGATCTCTGTTTTTCTCCCCTTAACCTATACTAATACTAATTTATACCTTATCTCTCATCTATTCCTCTAGTTGTAGTGACACTATTCTATGCCCAGCATGGCCAGGTGGTTAGGGTGCTTGACTCGCAATCTGAGGGTCGCGGGTTCGAATCCCCGTCACACCAAACATGCTTGCCCTTTTAGTCGTGGGGGCATTATAACGTGATGGTCAATCCCACTATTCGTTGGTGAAAGAGTATCCCAAGAGTTGGCGGTGGGTGGTGATGACTAGCTGCCTTCCCTCTAGTCTTACACTGCTAAGTTAGGGACGGCTAGTGCAGATAATTCTCGTGTAGCTTTGCACGAAATTCAAAATAAACAAACAAACAAAACAAACACTATTCTGTTGACTTCTTCAGTTTGTGTTTACTGTGATTGTAGTACAGCTCTTCAAGGTAACCATGTAACCAGCTTTCCTTAAGCCCATGTTTTATACATGAAAAACTTTAATCGACTCATGCCAGTCTTTTCATTATTATAAAAGCATTTCTTTTTTGGGATAATTTTATTTTGTTATCTGTTCTAAAGTTTGTTTTTATCAAAAGACGTCTTAGTCTCTGTAAGTATATTTTATTTCATGATCTCAAGTAATTAACTTCTGTTTATATCAACTTAAAAGGTTTCGAAAAATATACTAGTGTAGCTTAAAATTGATAATGGTGATCTATCAGTTGTAATGTTAGACCACACGTAAGTTATATTTTCTTATCAATATTGTAGTGTAGTTTCTTGTGATTTTAATTTGCATTAAGAAAATTGTTGAAATGTTTGAAAAGCATCAACAGAATATACTATACCACAATCGAATCTACTGATCAAATTTTACTGAAAAAGTGTGTGTACTGTAGGACATTAGTAAACTATATCTCTCTGTCAACACACACAGACACATATATATATATAACTCTGGAGTCTTAAGATTTATACTTCATTATTAAATTAATCGAAAAAAACTCCATAAGTTTTACTAGCGCATGTAGAACAAGTGTCAGCATGTTTTATATCTTGTCAATCCACTTCTTAAAGGGGATGGCATGCTTCTCTAGAATAGAGTGACAGGTTGGGCCTAATTTGATGCAATGGAGACTGAAATATTATGAAAAAAACACAAACAAAATTAATGAAAAAATAAACTCTTTAATGACCGAATTACAAGACCTTTTTATGACTAACGACATTTCTTTGTCTGTTTTCTTTTCAACTCTCTGGCTACCAAAGTCATTACAATCGTAGAGTGAGCTGTATTTTAGGCCAAAACTCAATTTTAGTCATGTGAATCACAAACTTATTATAACCTATTATAATTTTTTGCATGGATAGGGTAACTAGCTGCTCTCCATCCTTCTCTCTAGTGTGTACGGAATGTTCTATATTAGTTCATGTCGAAAGTAATTTTTCACACGTTATAATATGCATGTAATATGATAATTTTGCATTTTTTCTACAGTAACATTTGTTGAACAAGTTTTATCCAGTATTGAAAGCGATTAGTGACCTAATACGTAATTGTTTAACAGTACATCTAACTTATACATGACCCTATTTGCATGTAATAGATGTTTAGATGAATTTCATTTGAGATGTTATGTCACTTATTCCTATGGGATTTATGATATACCTTTTTTCTTATATTTTCATTATAATATTTACTTAAGAAACACTTACTCAGTTTATGTGTACCTTAAGCTCATTGAAATTTTATTTTAGGGGAAATTTTTTTCGTGCTCTGACCCGTCAAAAATAACACAGCAGGAATGCGAGTAAGTTTTGTGTTGTTTTATTTGTACTTACACATGAGGTACGGGTATTTTAATTTAATGTCCATGCTACATGATGTTAATAGTTTAGTTGTTTTGACATTAAGTTGATATAGTACGGATACCCGTAGCATTCGGACATTTGGAGATTCTTTTAATGATAGTATGAACAAATTCCTTGAGCAACTTAGACGGCTGCTACGTTAAATCTGCAAACGTTATTATGAGTAACTTCTGATCTAAACAAACTATCTACACAGATTAGGACTAAAAGCTAAGCCAGTAAATAATACAGCTAATTCAATATATTGGTCTAACTAGGAGAATACGATGTCATAATTAACAAAAACTTATAATGATAAGAATGAAGTTGTGTATTTTTGGCCATAATCCCAATAATATCTCCTGATAATGAAGATGAAGATGGTTGATAAACCATAAAACATTTTATTTACAAGGTTTGAACGTTTTGGAATAAATTATTCCATTTTCAGTGAAATCTGAAAATTGTGTTACAAAGATAATTATTACTAAAAATTATAATATAATAACACGATCATTAGTTTTTGCATTTTTTTATTAATTTTTTTTAAACACTAATTATTTAAAAAATGCCTGCACTGTCTTTTTACTTTTGTATTTATATTGAATTAGAATTATAGGTGTTATTTTCCTACATAGAGTGTGTTAGAAGATATATTTGTTTATGTGTTACATTGTAGACGTAATAAATTACAACTGTGTATTTGTGTTGTAAATATAATGAATTAAAATTATGTTTGTGTTTTACATGTGAGATAAAACAGTGAGTTTATGTTATACACAGTAAATTGGAATTATGTGTTTATGCTGTACACCTAGTTAGAATTATGTGATTGTGTTGTACACCTAGTTAGAATTATGTGTTTGTGTTGAACACCTAGTTTGAATAATGTGTTTTGGTTTACACCTAGCTAGAATTATGTGTTTTTGTTGAACACCTAGTTAGAATTATGTGTTTGTGTTGAACACCTACTTAGAATAATGTGTTTTTGTTGAACACCTAGTTAGAATTATTTGTTTATGTTGAACACCTAGTGAGAATTATGTGTTTGTACTATGTAGATATTGAACAAGAATTATAACTTTGTGTTTTATGTTTAGTGAGTTACACTTATGTGTTTTAATTATGAGTACAATGGTAACAAGCAGTAATAACAATATTTGTCACAAGATGGGCATCATGCACCAGTAAAAATAAAAATATGACAGTTAAAACACAGTACAGGCTTTTTCATGTACATTTGAGTATGTAGTTGTAGTTTAAAATGTCTAGACACTTTCGTTGTACATTTGAGTATGTAGTTGTAGTTTAAAATGTCTAGACACTTTCGTTATACATTTGAGTATGTAGTTGTAGTTTAAAATGTCTAGACACTTTTATTGTACATTTAAGTATGCAGTTGTAGTTTATAATGTCTTGACACTTTCATTGTACATTTGAGTATGCAGTTGTAGTTTAAAATGTCTTGACACTTTCATTGTACATTTGAGTATGTAGTTGTAGTTTAAAATGTCTAGACACTTTCGTTGTACATTTGGAGTATGTAAGTTGTAGTTTAAAATGTCTAGACACTTTCGTAGTACATTTGAGTATGTAGGTTTGTAAGTT